ACTTCAAGTTCAACAATCATATTGTTCATTTTAGCTTCAAATCCCTTGAACATGGTGTTTTTCTCAAGCTCAAATCCCTCAAGAATGCCATTCTTCATATCTTCTAATTCTTTGGCTCGATCCCTTTCTTTATGCATTTGATTCATAATCTCACGACTTTCATCTTTATGTTTTATAATTCGCTCCCTTTTATCAACTTCAAGATCTTCCATTTTCAGTTTTCCTTTCTCAAGGCTTTTGAGTAAACGGCTATTTTTTCCTTTCAAATCGTCGACTCGGCATTTCTCATGTTTAACTCTTTGCTTTGCTCGATCCTAATGCTCTTCGGGATTTTTGCAGCTCATGGTAATTCTTCTTTAACGTTCTAAACTCACCATCTACTTTTTATTTGTTTTCCCTCAGCATTGCACATTGTGCTGAATGAAAGTCAACATCGACGCCCAACATAGCTTTATCTCGTCGTATTTGTTCTAACTCTTTCGACCAACCCTCTCTTTCTGCTTCAAACTCAACTCTTAGGATTTCTATCTCTGATAGGAGTACCCGAATGCGATCTTCCATAGAGATATCCCCATTTTGGTAAGGTAGAGGAATATTTTCATTTTTCTTGATAGACCTCCATTCCTCATAATCAGGGGTTAAAATTACTTTTGCTGCTTTAGCTCGAATACAGAAAGTTGTTTTCCAAGCTTTAACGACATCCATGATTTTTCTTTTGTAATTTTTTCTATTAAATGCAAACTCAGACGAATGTAACCCAACAGTAACATGAACAAATTGACGACCCTCATACTTCCTTATAGCTAGAAGTGGTGCATATCCAATTCCTCCCATAAACCAAGCAGCATCACCCAGTTATAGTCACCACATTTGTAAAAGAACTCCCTTTGTACTTGCCACAGTGCACGCCAAACGATATCGTTACTTTGCAGATTTCGAAGGGCATTTATCCACATGTCTTTCATGACTTCTTTCGGCCATTCTTGCTCCAGAAACTCTTTCAAAGCTTAGTAGTCCGTATTAAAGCGACGGTATGAAACTTTTTCTGTCCTCCAAAAATGGCTACGAATCCAGACATATAACAATTGTGCACATCCCGAAAATCGTCCACCTCTCAGCCTTCTACAAGCGCTTAATGATCGAAAGGTCTCAGCTAAAATTGCAGAAGCAGGATTGACCCTTTTTTGTAGCTGCTCGAACAAATCTACTACTGCAGCCTCAATGTATCCCAATGCTTTCGGGAAGATGACCATACCATATATACCCAGAGCAAAAAGATCAAATTGTACTTTATCATCTGGATGACTCTAAATGATTTCTTTGATGTTGGTCCAAGAAATGCATTCGTCCTCACCCTTTTGTTTTGTACGAGCCATTACCCATTCCTCTCGTACTCCTGCAATCTTTGCTAATTTAACTCAGAAAGGTTGAGTTTTGATTGACCTTGAATAAATTCGATTCTCCAAAGCCCCTTCTATATGTAGCAAAGTTGTATACTCTTCAATAGTAGGAACCAAGTCCTCCTTATTGAAAGTGAAGCAATTATACCCTAGATTCCAGAATTGAATCAGGGCTCGATGCAATTCATCATCAACTTCGACATAAAGCAAATATGGGATGTCCCCGTAACACTAATAGAACTGCAGCTTTTTGTTTGAGTCCCAACTCTCCCAAATGCCTCACAGATCTTGAATATCATTTCTTTTTAGCGAAACTGGAGCATAACTTGCTAAATCGGGTACATAATCATCCTGCAGACTGTCTCCTCCTTGTCTTTGTAAATCCTCATACCACTGTCTTACTTCTGAGTTTGGAATTATTTGATTTGAACACTTTTTATCCATAGATGAAGGTTTTCCAATGAGACGATTAACTCGCACATCAGTACCTTTAATCCTGTATGATGCCATGCAAACAACAAAAATAAAAACATAAAAAGAAATGAATTAGTTCAAATAATAAATAAGGAAAAATTTAATTTAATAATAATATCTATCCAAATATTTCTATTTAAACATGCTTTCTACATAACCTACTTTAAATAATCTAAATTCATATGCAATTTATTTAACAGGGAAATAAATAAATAAATTAAAAGGAAAAAGTAAGAATTCATTTCTCCTTCGTGTACACCTATTTTGGACAAAATTTCGGCATGGTTTCAGATCAGAAGAGTTTCTAGGGTTTACTATATGCAGAGTTTCAGTTCTAAGAGTAAAGGTACTCGAATTATCCTTGTTAGTGCCCCTTGGGCTGTCAAACCCTCAATCCTAGTCCACTACAGACTTAAGCGGAACGAGTTCAATTCGAGGGGACATATTTCCCTATGCCTGACACAGAGAATAAATTTCAATGAAGACATAGAGCATATGAACCCTGAAAGCTACTTGCTAGGTTTTTATACGGAGAATAAATTCTCACGAAGATGTCGCTTTCACTCCCACTTAAAAGGGACAAGCTTGATTATAAAGCTTATGTTATGCATGTGTTGTGTGTGAGGAGAAATATTCAAACCTCTGACAAACAAATAAATAAAAAATAAAATTTAATATTTGAAAATAATAAAAAAATAATTAATAAAGAAGAATACATAATAAATATTATGAAAATCATAAGTAATAAAAATTTTGAAAGAAAAGAATTATAAATTAAATAAATATGAATTTTTAATTTCTAATTAATAGAGACAATTTATAATTGATTTGAAAGCTTGACCAGATCCCCAGCGAATTTGCCAAGTTGTCGTAACCGGTTTTTGCCCAGGTACGAATTTTTACTTGGCGGTAAAAATAAAAATGAATAAATAAATGATTTTGGTTTAAAAAATATTTTGGGAGTCGCCATTAACCTTTTTGGGTTAGGTAGGTCAAATACCTAAAAACAATCTTTTAAAATAGTTTTTAAGAAAACATAATTTAAAAGATAAACTGATCTGCGTATAACAAAAAAATTTAGTAAAAAAGGGATTCGTGGTCGATTACATTTAGGGAAGGATTAGCACCCTTGTAACGCCCAAAATTGGTACTCATTAATTATAAATTGTCTCTATTATTAGAAATTTAAGAATTCAAAGATATATTTAATTCATAAATTTTGTGATTTAAAATTTATTACTATAATTTTAAGAAAAATATATTAACTTTTATAAATATATATATATTTTATAATTTTATAAATAAGATATTTATTTACTTAGAAATATCAGAAAAAGACTTCTAGTTGCTTTAAGACAATCATTTTCTTAATATTAAAAAATAAATAAATATTAATAAAACATTTCTCTAAAAATAATTAAAATAAATTAATTAATATATATATATATATATAATTTATAAAAATAGGATATTTAGTTATTTAAAAATATCAGAAAATGACTTCTAGTTGCTTTAAGACAACCATTTTCTTAATATTAAAAAATAAATAAATATTAAAATATGTTTATAAAAATAATTTATATAAATTAAATTTATAAATAGGATTTTTATTTAATATATATAAAATAAAACAAAAATAAATAAATATCACTTATTATATATATATTTATATGACTAAATAATAATACTAATAATAATATATTGAAAATAAACATATAAAATTAAAATATAACTAAACAATGACTAAAATAAATAAAATTAAAACTATAGTACTAGAATATAAAATGAAAGTATTTAACATTAGTGGTTAAATTATAACATATTAAAATTAAATGGTCTAATTCGTAATATATTATTTAAAATTACAGTGATTAAACATGCTATTTTACCTATTATTAATTTAGTGACTAAAATAAATATATATCAAATTCGAAAATCAAATTAAAATAAATTAAAACATGCTTTTCAGGATTAAAATATTAATTAATAAAGTTACGATGGCTAAATTGGTTATTTACCTTTAAATATATATAATTATGCTAAAGACTAAATTATAAATTAAATGAAATTTAAATACCGAATTAAAATAATCATATATTTGATTCAGTGACTAAAATAGAAGTTTATAAATATAGGATGGCAACGGGTATAATTTACCCTTTTTAAATTACGCATATACCCCTCCCCAAAACAACATCGTTTGGGAAGGGGTATAAATACCCTAAAATGGCCGGCCTTAAGGCCATTTTTCTCATTCTCTCCTTTCCCATTCTCTCTCTAACTGAGAGAGATGAAAACTCTCTCGCCTCTCTCTAGGATTCCCTCACCGGAGGGAATCCGTTCACCGGCCGGCAGCCGCCGGCTATCGCCTCTCGTGGCGAGAAAATACTATTTTACATAAAAATGAAGCCCGATTCTTCCTTATCTCAAATATAGCCTCCTTTTTACCTAAAAAATCCTAGATCACCCTAGATCTAAAAAAACCGAAGGTTTTTCGGCTGTCCGTGAAGATTCTGATGACCGTGGTAAGTATTTTCTTCTTTTCCCTTTTTTTCGAATGGTTGTTGTTGTTTGTTCTTTTTATTTGCTCTATGTCCTTGTTTGTTTGCAGGTTCGGTGGCTTTTATAGACACCAGTAACCTTGCCTCGGACCGGGTAAAAGAACACTCCTCGGTGAGTCACCGAACCCACAGTGGTGACTCACCCTAAGGTCACAACGTGGACAGTCTCCCTTAAGTCTTCTGGAGTCTCTTGTTGAAACGGTGGGGCTTGGCAACAGCTGGCTGAGACGTGGAGCGGCGGCGACCGGTGTAGTCCCTAGGGTATCATAACCCTAGGGTCTTTCTGGCGCGTCTGTGGACTGTTGGATCTCATCAGATCCAACAGTGGATGGTTGATGGCGGCTGGGGTTGAGATACAAACCGTAAATAGGTTTAGGATTACACATTTAGGCCGGTTTGGGTTTCTGGGTTATGTAACTGGGTTTTGGTTTGGGCCTGTAATAATAATTTAATTAATAATAATAATAAAATAAAATAAAATAAAATGAAAAAAATTGATGTCTACACTCTAGTTTTTTTTTTGTTGAGTTTATATTAACTCCATTGCTTTTCTTGTGATGTTGCCATGTCTGAGCTTGATCCAACTGTTAAAGAAGCGTTTAATGTGGCATACAACAATATATATGCATTTCATCTTGCTCAAAAGTCAGTGGAGCAAAGTGTTGAGAATATGAAAGTAAGTTTATAGTACTGATTTGTTGTTGCATAATCCATATATTGTCAACATACTAAACATCTTAGTACTCTAATAGGGTGTTAGATGCAAAAGGGTTGCTAGGAGTATTGGTTCCGTTGGTCTTTATGTACCAGGGGGAACTGCTGTCTTGCCGTCAACTGCTCTAATGCTTGCTGTTGTAAGTCCATCAAACTGATTACAGTAATTATGTCTCTTGTTTCTTTTCCATTTAGTGGTATATCTAGATTAGATTTATATGACCTTTGGCTTATTCCTCGCTCCAGCCTGCACAGATTGCTGGATGTAAAACTGTTGTTCTTGCAACTCCGCCAGGCCAAGATGGCAGCATATGCAAGGTATTTTTGGTTTTTTTTTGCTTTTATTTAAATAACAAATAATGTAAGTGAAAGCTGATCAGTATTTTGTTATAGGAAGTGCTGTATTGTGCAAAGAAGGCTGGTGTGACCCACATTCTTAAAGCTGGTGGAGCTCAGGTGTGAGAACATTGAAGATATGCTCACATTCTGCATTTGAACTTCCTTTTTATCATCATCATTTTAATTTTTTTATTTAAATTGAATTTTACAGGCCATTTCCGCCATGGCCTGGGGCACAGAATCTTGCCCAAAGGTAATGGTTCTTCAACAACCCTTTCAGTTTTTGAGTTTTAGTACTGATAGATATTAATGGAAATTTTGAAGACATATGAGTAATGAATTTTCTTCTGTTTGCTATCAGCAATTTAATCAGAAGCCAATCTTCTTTCTTTTGAACCTAACTGATAATCAAAGTCTTTCCTATGTTCTGACATCTGTAACCTGAATTTTATACATTGAGTTTTTCCTTAACTCATTTGCGTTTTACATAATGATGTCATGCCATGTGACTTAGAAATTGCACTAGAAGCCTTCAGTTGTTTGCACCGAGTGTAATTTAATTGGTCTGCCATGGTCAATTTCCTTTTCACAACTTCTTTAGGTGCTTGTGTCTTGTGTGTGGAGAAGAGCTGGCTGTTGTTGATAAGATAGGTAGTATTGACAAAATATTGATTTTAAATGATGTTGAATCATATCTTCTGGAAATTGTAATGATCGGAAAGCCATGCAATAACTTGTATATGATCAATAAGCTATGCAGCATTTTTATGGTTCATTTTGCTACCATTTGAGCACGTATACCAGAGTAAGAGGAGTCTATTATACCTATGTGAATGTAATTCCACAACAGTTGATTAGTTGTTCTAGATATGATTAGCTGTTGAAGGCATGAAAACTTGACAAGATCACATATATTTTAGGGAAAAAATTATTTATCATGACTGGACTTTTTCAGCTTTTGTATTGGTGGTCTAATGATTTTGCCTTTATGGCAGGTTGAGAAAATTTTGGGACCTGGAAATCAGTATGTAACAGCTGCCAAAATGATACTCCAAGTAAGCTCAATTTCTTGCTTGTAGAACTTGTACATTGCTTCAATTCAATCAAAGAAAGTTGTTGAGACATTTTCCTCTACTTGTTTGATTCTACCTTCTGTACGTATTTTCCCACAGAATAGTGAGGCTATGATTTCAATTGACATGCCAGCCGGCCCTTCAGAAGTTTTGGTTATTGCTGACAAACATGCCAGCCCTGTACATATAGCTGCTGATTTGCTATCCCAGGTTTTCACTTGTTTTATCCTTCTAATTTGGTACTTTTTTTTTACTTAAAATCTAATCTAGAAGTTTTTTTATTGTTTATTTTCACTATATTGGTGAGTGCTCAAATTAACAATCTCAAGTACTAGATAAGAAAAACACTTCCATTGTCAAAGCATCGTAGTGTATTTTGACAGTTTTTGTTGGGATTTTGCCTGTGCTATATTTTCAGTGACCTTCCAATTCACATGTGACTTTTTCTAATAATCCATTTTCCCCTAATTTTCAAATTTTCCAATTTTTAGTTTTCACTTTAAAATGGAGAATTATTTGTGAAATCCAAAACTTACAAAGTGGACTATTCAATCCCTCTTGTGACAACCATGTTAGATGATTCTTTTGTTCCATTGTTATTAGAAAATACTATATACTGATTGGAGAGTAAAGCGTAGTGTTGACAATTAATTTGCCGCTTTTGTTGCCCCAAGGGCAGTCACTTGTTAAACTTGGGATTTTCAGTTTACGACCATAAAATTTGAACCTTAGGAAGAGAGGTTAGGATTTTTGTGAATGGAACATGGTTGTCTTCCTTTCTACAGCCGAAGACCTAGTTTGCCTCGATCTATACAGAACATAAAAAGTCATGCTTCTATTGGATGCATTGTATTTACTGATAAAAGCTGCTATTTTCAGGCTGAACATGGCCCGGATAGCCAGGTTGTTCTTGTAATTGCTGGTGAGGGTGTGGATTTTAAAGCTATCGAGGAGGAAATTAGTAAACAGTGCCAAAGCCTTCCAAGGGGAGATTTTGCTTCAAAAGCATTAGGCCATAGTTTCACTGTTTTTGCTCGTGATATGGTTGAGGTCCATTTTCCTGTTTTTCTGTTCATCTCTTTTGGCAGTGAAATTTACCAAGGTTCCTGTTTTGCTTTTTTTTTTTTGGGTACTTATCTAATGGTTAGCCCTGCTTTGTTTATAAGCTAGAAGTTCCAATTGTTTCCTATTTTGGGTTTATTTATGTTTCTGGTTAATTCAAGCATATAAAATATCTTGCACTCTGTTTTATGGAATTTCTCATGATCATTTTCATTTTAGGCTATCACCTTCTCAAATTTATATGCGCCAGAGCACCTGATCATGAATGTGAAGGATGCAGAAAAATGGGAGGGTTTTGTTGAGAATGCTGGTATTTTGCGACTTTTGTTTATATTATTTTATTAGGCTTTCATTCTTTTGAAATTGGTTTGGGATACAAGTAAAGAGCATGCAAATTTTGTGTAGTTGGTCTTGCAAGCAACATAACCTACATGACAAGTTCACTGCTGCCAAAACCATATTTGCTGAGCGTGATGGCGATTTCATTTAAGCTCTTTGTTCCTGCAGGTTCCGTATTCTTAGGGCAGTGGACACCCGAGAGTGTGGGAGACTATGCAAGCGGGACCAACCATGTTCTTCCCACGTATGGCTATGCAAGGATGTATGGTGGGGTGTCTCTCGACTCTTTCCTGAAATGCATGACTATTCAATCTTTGACAGAGGAAGGCCTAAGAAACCTTGGCCCATATGTGGCCACCATGGCTGAAGTTGAGGGGCTCGATGCTCACAAACGAGCCGTGACTCTCGGACTCCAAGGTATTGAAGCCAAGCAAAGTGTGAGATGATGTGTGTATGATTGGATACTGTTTTACTGTTTCCTGAGTGTGCAAGAAATTGACTTTTAATTAGTGAGCTATAAACATATAATCCCCTTGCAGTGCTATGCATGCAGGTGGGGTAGAAACTTGGATTTAGTTTAATTTTCCATTTCATTGGATAACACCAAATAAACTCATGAATGGACATTTTCTTTTGAAAGTGTGAGCTTTGAAATGGCAAAATTGCGGAACAAAACAAGAAAAATTATTTATGTTAGCAGCGACTTAGTTGTCCTCTTGAAAATTTTAAATTATCATATATTTTTTAAATTTTTTATTTGTATTTTCTATTAATAATCATTTTTCGTCTCTTATGATTTTTGAAGTTTGCCCTCCTAATCAGGGGCAGACACAAAATTTTGCGTAAGGGGATGCAAACTTTTATATTTAATAAAACTATAATGACATAAGTTAATATAAAATAACAACTATGGTAACTAATAAAAGAAATATACACATAAAATAACATTCTTCCTCATTCTCCTCTTTTCTGTTTCACAAAAAATAACGATTTACAATTTGCACTAATATACTAGAGTTTTATCTATTAGAAATAAAGAAACCTTAGTATCTACATAAATTGGAGTTATAAGATAACTCCTAAAATACTTAAGAACAAAGTAAAAACAACTTCCAGGATACGTAATAATTAGGATGCTACAAAATATTACACATACTATATTTTTACATGTCAAAATAGGCATTCAAAATTGTGTTCGACGCTCTTTCATTAGATCAAATTTATCAATAAGAGAATCTATTGATAAATCGCGTGTAATTTCTTTCTCAATATATGTTATTTAGTAGCTCAACAAAAAACTCATTTTCTATTTTGTTACGCAAGTGAGTCTTCACTAACTTCATGACCGAGGATGATCGCAGTATAGAAATATGAAGAGTCAAAACAAGATGAACAAATCGGTCAAGAATAGGATAAATAATTGACTTTTGAGTCTTTACTAACACTTGACAAAGTTTTGAAATTGTTGACATCCTTCTCAATTCATTCCATCAAGTTCCTAATTCAAAATGTTCTAAGTGAACTTTTAAGTGCAATTTGTCCTGCTACGTAAAGTCTTCTGGGTAAAATTTATCTGCAAGCTTGCATATATCATCAATGTCACTCCCCGATTTTCATTGGTTTTGATTTAAATTGAATTTTAATTAATTATGAGGACCAAATCGTAAAAAAATTTGAAAACTTGAGGTAAGCTTTCGACAATTACAGGATGCTCAGGGACTTAAGTTGAAATTATCCCATCAGTCTTTAACTTTGAAAAAAATATAGGGGTTTGGTGGGATTGAACCCATAACCTACTAGAAGAAAGAATGATGCCCCAAGCCTTATCGTTTAGGCTAAGGCACTGTTATAATATATTTTATTAAAAATATGTTTTATTGTCACTTAGCCTGGATTTTAAATTCCAGATCATTTCTTTCTCATTGGATTGGAACCAAACATAAAAAAAAGAATTAAATGTTTCCCAAATTTGTCGCCCCTTCGTTCACTGATCTCCGGCCGACAGTGCAGTGCACTCCGCCACCATTTTGTTCTCCGTCGTCCTTCGATCAAAAGCCCTCTGTCAATTTGTCGAAAGCCATTGTCGTTCGCCATTAATAGGCAATTGTTTACTCGTCAAAAACCCAAAATCACCGTTTACTTCTCCTAGCAATTCTCGCCACCACAGGCGACCGTATACCCCGACACCAACACCGTTAGACTTGTCGTCCCATACCGAGCAAAAGTCGATCAGCCTCTCTTCTTCTAAGCCCACCGTTTACCGTGAATCAACTGAGAAAGCCTCATCGGAAAGCTTCACCCACCGTCATGGTTTTCACAATTTTCGTGCCGATTCCATCGTCGGTCGGCCTCACCGCCACTTCAATCAGGATCCCCGCTCAGTTTCAACCATAACCCAACAGGTACCATTCCCTCCCGTCGTTGTTTTCTTTGTCCGTCATCGGGGTAAGCTTCGGTTGTTTTTCTATTTAATTTTTGTCGAGTTTTTGTGATTTATGGACTAATCTGAGTTGTTTGTGTTGTTTGGATGCCCTGGAGTGTTCGATCACCGTCATTGTCCCTGTTATCCGTCACACGCACCACAATGCTCCATCGTCGTATGTGGCCATCGTTTCCCATCGACTTTGTGTAAACTAAGTCAACTCGGACCGAGTTGACCGAGTCAATTTGTCTGAGTCAACCCGTTAACGTTGACCAAAAAGTCAAAATTTCAAAAAACTCATATTTTATGTTTTTCGATGTCTTGAGTCTGAATTCGTAGTCCGTTTTGCTAAATTTGAACACTGTAAGTTGTTTTTGAAACATTTTATCTTTCGATTCAAATAGTTTTCCTTTTAAGATCCATTTTTGACGTAATCTGTTTTGCTATGTATCTGAGACTTTTTGGGACGTCAAATTTAAGTTCAAGGGAGACCAAATGGAGTTTAATTGATCGATTGGTGTGGCTCAGAAATCGAGGTAATAGTTGTATACCTTATGAATGCTTTATCATACTCGTTGATAATTGATAATTCCATGAATGAAAATGATCAGTCTCGTGCTTATTGAGGATTTCTGAAACTAATAATGAATACAATATAAATGCGGTAAATTGAATAAGACTCGATGGACTCGTGTAAGGAACTAGAGGATTAACGAGAAATAATTTCATGTTCAGTGGTTAATTGGTAATTCAAGTAACCTAAGAATTCATAAACTCTGATTTCTTCTATAAAATAGTTAAATGCCAAAAATACTTGGAAAAGAAATTATGAAAATATTCATGTTAGGTAAATTACTAAAATGCCCTTATGATGTAAAAAGATGAGAATTGTGCACGAAGTGGAAAATAACCCTGGAAATCATACTTAGAGTTATGTTCCTAAGTAAATGAATGAAGACTAAACCAACTAATGTATCAGTTACGTCTGAATGGTTTTAAAAGACTGAATTATATGATAAGATTGAATCGAAAGAGAATGACTATAATAACCCTGAATATTGAAATGACACAAATAACCTAATGATCTAGTTTAAGGAAAAGTTTGTAGATAAGTTTTGAAAGTACCAGTGAAGAATTAAATATTTTAACGACCCCTAAAAATTATGGAGACGACCCAAGTACGTCGATCATCTTGGAGATTGCTGCAATACATAAATAAAACAAATACCATCGAAATACGTATAGTTCCTCAAGATCCATTCAACGATGGCTCTGAAGATGATCTGCTCGACAAGTAATGTCAGTATTAAAGTGTGAATATTCTTGAAGTGTATCGATTTGAGTGGTTGATATGTATCACAATGTTGGGATTTGTTCAGCTCGAGTTGACCCGATATCTTGATAAATTGACATGAATATTGAATACCATAAATCATCGTTTCACCCTTATTGTATTAAGTTGCTAAGAATCCACTAGAAATTAAAGTGTCTGAAATACCCTTGATGGCCTAAATAATGAAATCGCTCTGGTTATATCTGAAAATCTTAATTTATTCTGATGTAAAGGTTCCTAAATACCTTTCTAATACACCTGAGATCCTAAATGGTTCTGAATTATCAATATTTGATTGTCTGTTTAGATCCGATAGCAATTAAACCCTTTTAATAGGGACATCGATCCTGAAATCCAATCAATTTTGCGTAAGTTCATACTTTCTATTCATGATAATTTCCAAGCGCCTTCAAAAAATATTTGGATCCTCTAGTGTGTTCCCTATTGACAAAAATGTTTTCTCTGATTTATATAAAGTACGATTTCTGATATTTGGTTTCTGATTTTTGACACAAGGTACAATTAGCTCCTGATTTATGATATTACTGTCTGTTATCTGATCTGTTTTATTGGGGTACTGTCTGGGTAGGTGTCTGGAGACTATAAGGTTCAGCTAGCTGGTAAATCCTTTCTGTTCTGATCATTCATATTGGACTCTTAGATCCCATGGGTCTAGGGTAAGTCCTTATGGATGCATGTTCTAGGGTACCACATTTGGTGTATGGTTGGAGGGAAACTCTGTATTTTAAATAAAAAACCCAACTTCTAATTTCTGTTTTCTGATATTACTGGTTCTATCTGAAACTGTTTTATTAGGGGTATTGATTGGGTAGGATTCTGGAGTCTCTAAGGTTTAGTTAGCTGGCAAAACATTTTTGTTATGATCATTCATATTGGACTCATAAATCCTAGAGGTCTAGGGTAAGTCTTTATGGATGATGTCTTGGGGAATTTCACATGGAGTATTCGTATGGAGGGTACTATAATGATTTTAAAAATCTATTTTACTGAAATAACTACTACTGTTTTTAAACTAGGATTACATTTTATTCTAGTTTTGAAAGAACACACTAGACATTGTTTCAATATCCTGAATTTGGTCTTTTGAACGTTTCCTATGAGCTATAAGCTACTTTTCTGTTATCTGAAGAAATATTAGTGGAACCTCAACTCATCACAAAAACCTGTAGATGGCTGAACCAATGAGAAAATTTTAAATGCTTGCTATTTATCTACATGTCTTTCAGCATCTTTTGGTAGTTATGTATTACTGAGCTTCCTAAAGCTCACTCTTTTACTCACAATTTCAGGTTAAAAGAATAAATTTAGTGTAGCTATTGACATCAATAATGGGAGTTCCTTCGGCTTTGTTTGTAGAGTACGATATAAGTGTAATTAAGGGGCATGTAGGCATATTTGATTTTTTTATATCGAGTCTGGAACTTGTATGATTTTAATTCTGTTTGTAATACATGAATGGTTTTCTGAACTTGTATTTTAATTATAAATTATTTTATGATTTTACATGTTTTAACAAAAAAATTAATTTCTCCTGGATTTTTACATGTCTAAGGGTATTACAATCAATGCAAAATGATTTAAAAGCATCGTTGGATCCAAAGCAAAACTAATCTTATCTCAATTTTGAACTTCCTCGTATTGAAATTGAAAAACAAAGGAAAGCTAGTCCATGCGAAAGATGAAGAAAATTGGAATT